TGATTTCATGGTTTTTATCTGTAGCATGTATAACTGAATGTGTCTACAGAATCTATACAACCTTCAAACATTTGTGTTTACAGATATTGCAAGTCTATTTTGTGAATGATAAATAAGCATAATCAACATAACATTAATACAATCCAACTTTAATGTGGCAAAGAAGACTGCTATTGCATCTAAATGTGAAGTTCTTTTTGTGTGATCACTCTAAATTAGTTTCAGTGCTGAAGACATAATACTGACCTAAAAACTATGGTCCACATTTACATTAAGGTGTACATTGTTGATAATTAATGTAAATACCATTCTTAATCCTTAAGCTAATCTTAAATTTAGAGATAGAATATAAAGATGATGGAAGTAGTAAAAATAGTAAATATTATCATTGCTGCTTTTACTTTTATCCTAATAATTTTTAGTACTGCAATCAAGATAACTTATACAATATCTGATGTGGTTGCATTATCCTTATATCTATTACTACTGCAGATATAATGATCAACTTTACCTACTTAATTGTACAATATCTGATGTGGTTGCATTATCCTTATATCTATTACTACTGCAGATATAATGATCAACTTTACCTACTTAATTGTGACTACCACTTATCATAAATAATTGTAAATATACTATAAACACATTTCATTAAGATGAAAGTAACACCTAAATGATGCAATAAAGGAATATCTATCTTTTCTCTAAAACTGATATTTATACTTTCATCTTTGTGAATAAAAAAATAAAATTTCCAATAAACTACTCTAAAAATCTCAAAACATAAAATGTGTCAATATACTACAGGATAATCTTATTCATCTAAATGTTAAACAAAAAGTACTTCACTTGTCGAAATCTTTGAAATTCTTATTTTAGTTGAGGCATAAACAATACATTTATTGTTACAGCACTACTAAGTATTTACTACGCTGTCATGCTATACAATCTGTTTCTGTATTTAAGTTTGGCTAAACACATTCTCTCCTTCTCTCCCTTCCTATTCCCTTTTCTTTTCTTTTTTCCCCACATTTTTCTTAACACAAACACACATATACATCCCCTCCAACACACACTAACCACACATGTATGTATGCAGACACATGTATGAATGCAGGGACACATGTACCTGCGCACATGCACATGTGCACCTGCACACACACACACACACACACACGCACACCACACACACACACACACACACACACACACACACACACACACACACACAACACACACACACCACACACACTTGCATTTACACTTATCCTAATGATGTCAACCATGCTGGTCCAATGGATCTTTTTAACTACCTACATTGTATTTTTTAATCTTGTGCAGCAAATACTAATAGTTATAAGCAGCAAATTTAAAATATAATACACTTGACTCTGCTGTACCTATCTATATAAAATTATACTGGATACAAAGCACTACTTAAGTGTAAATGTGTCTGTGTGTGTGTGTGTGTGTGTGTGTGTGTGTGTGTGTGTGTGTGTGTGTGTGTGTGTGTGTTCTGTGTGTGTGTGTGTGGTGTGTGTGTGTGTGTGTGTGTTGTGTGTGTGTGTGTGTGTGTGTGTGTGTGTGTGTGTGTGTGTGTGTGTGTGTGTGTGTGTGTGTGTGTGTGTGTGTGTGTGTGTGTGTGTGTGTGTGTGTGTGCGTGTGTGTGTGCACACAATGTGTTGTGTGTGCATGTGTGAGTGTGTGTACACGTGTGTGTGTACATGTGTGTGTGTGTGTGTGTGTGTGTGTGTGTGTGTGTGTGTGTGTGTGTGTGTGTGTGTGTGTTGTGTGTGGTGTGTGTGTGTGTGTGTGTGTGTGTGTGTGTGTTTGTACATGCATGTGTTCAGTTATTTTGAGCATATTTCTTGCTCTGCCACACCTAGACCATCTGCTGTAAACATATATCATCATGCTCTACAGCGACAACAAATCATGCAAGCAAAGAATGCTTGTACTCTTTTACATCCACATTTCATGTAAATCTATTCACTGATATGCACATATAAAACATTTTACCAAATGCTATTATGTTACATCCATCTTATTACTGTTATTTTCTTTCTTCAAAGTAGTTTCCATTCTTAAATCATCAAACAATATACATTATAAAAAAGGGTCTATAGGAAAAAGATTGAAATCCACAGTTTGAACTAACACCAAAGCTACTAAATGATATTTATAAAATGTTGTAATGCTGTACTTCTACTACTATTTCATGAGCTTATTTAACTTCCTCTCTTTTATAAAAGTCTTATTTAAGAAATTCATATTGAAAAGCAATATTTAGTGTATCTCTATGCATCATCTGAAGAAAGCTTATTCAGTATTTCATGATATTTGAGATATTTCACCAGAATGCAACATGAAAAACTGAAAGGTGAGTGTACCTTGGACTCATAATATGTCCTGACATTTAGAATATGCAAGAAAACTTATAATTTATCTTTCTTGTAGAAAGGAAATGGTTATAAAGGAGATACCTGATAAAATATGACTAATGACAGGTATGATTCTCTTGTGCAAATCAATAATTCCTTTTTTTTCAAATAAAAGTTATCCATCATAAAATTCCAACCAATGCTATTATAGTAAAGTGAGCTGTGACTTTCAGTTTACCATATACCAACAGCATTGCTTTATAGAATTACAATATTTATGGTCTTTAGCAAAGCACTGGAAGTATGCTATCTGAAATATTCAATACACTGATTCTGTCACAGAGAATGGGTATTATTAGTTGACAGCCAATCAAGGCAACATGCAGGGTTAATTTCAGGGAAGAAATAACATTCCACTAAAGAATCAACAATGCAAGCAGGTAATTACTATAACAGTAATGATAATAATTACCATAAGTAAGAAAGGAGAAAAGAAGTTGGAAGCAATCGAGAACCACATACCTTCTCCCTCATGGCCCTTAGACCACTATCCGATGATTTCTTGCTCTTGACATGATGTTCTGGGCTACTGCCACCATAGTCATCTTCGCTATGCTCTGTTAGACTAATCTTTGGAGAGAATTTGGAAGATGGTGTGAGACTATTCGTTCCTGAGCTCTGGTCATCAGTAACAGGGGTATCACCTTGACAGTGGGATGAGGATGATGAATCTCCATTTGGAGTTTCCGGTCTGGGATGGCTGCGTGCCATTGCTAAGGCACTCGCAATTATGTTAGCCCCAGTTCTCCTTGACTTTGACACTGAGCGAACGGGGCTGGAAGTAGATGGGGTCACGGAACCACTAAAGCTGCTATCCTGGTCGTCTCTGGTGTGATTTTTGGGGATCAGGACAGCCGACTCACTTGCTCTGCGACCATTTGACAAAATAGGATGATCACCCGATACATAAGACACACTCTGAGAGCCCATTCGAGGCAATCTTGGAGTCTCAGTCTGTGAAAGGAGACAGAAAATTTAGTTGTTTTCTTCAAGCATGAACATGGTCAACTATACAGTTAAAAGAAAGCTACTTTGTCAACATATCTACTGATTAATCTACAGTGTGTCTGTTGTAAAATAATCATCTGAAGTTTCAAATGCCACCTCATGTGTTGGTGATGACTGGTGCAACAATACTCCTGAATCTTCTCCTGATGATGCCCCAGCAACTTCATCTTTGACACTATTTGATCTGCTCATTTCATCAGTTCTCTCCATGTCATCTGCCACTGCTGTACTTGAAGTTAAACTGGTGTCTGTTGTTGATGGTATTATTTGGTGCTGAAAAAAAAACAGTAAAGAAATTTACAATGAAAATAATTTTCACTTCACAAAATTGGTATATTCAAGTTAATGTATTCATGCCTCTAAGTGAATGGTGGATCAAGTTATGTAAAAAAACTATATTCAAAAAAATCAATAAAAACACTGTAATCTGACCTTAGAACAACATATATATGTATTTCACCTTAGTACATTTAGTATTGAACAATTTACCTCATAATCATCAGAAATGACCTTGACCCTGATTTCTATTTGACCTGATTTGGTACCCTCAAGCGTGCACCACTTCGGGGCATCCTTGTGAGACAGGTCGCGGACGTCCGACTCCTTCAGAGCAACGGAACCCAGGAAATCTCTTCCAAAAGCATCATGATCCCACAAGGTCTGAAATATATTAAATCCCAAATGTATTGCTTAATAACTACTGAAAGAGATTACATTACAACTGCATTTGAAGTATCTTTTCAGTTATTTTACCACATAATGAAAGTCGAATGCTCACAATAGCAAGGATGTCTGGGTGTCTTGGCAGATGGGTCATCAGAGTTTCCTCCCACTCGGGGTTGAGGGTCTTCTTCTTCACCCGAGTGCGGTACTTGACCTCGCTGTTGATTTTCACGACACAGTAAGGGTCACTGTAGCCGTTTAGGTCTTTAGCCACCAAGTCTCGCGCTCTGTGTGAGTACATTTCGTTAAAGAAGTATATATGTAAACAGAATAATAATGAAATATGCATGCTCACTTACATGCATTCAGGACAAGAGAATTGACCATCCCAGTAATATCTTCTATTTCTCTTTCCTATTTCATCACGCAGGTCTCCTACGCTACTAACTCAACAAAGCCACACAAGGTCACTGCCCCCAAACGCGCTTTTTGGGTATTGCAGGAAGTCCGAACAAACCCTCTCTCATACTCGACCTTAATCATCTGTTCGCGTGCTCTCTGATTAGACCGCACCACTCTTTCCTCTCATCTAAATACAAGAGAGTGAAGTGCCAATCCTTCATTCGCCGATTCACTCACAACCAAACCGTGAGGGAAAGTCTGAGAGCATAACATGGCCGAATTTAAGCTCGAGCGTCGGTTTCGTTCACCACCACGTGCAGCACTCACTCCCTTTCCCAGCCTGACTGAATGCAATAACCCAACTTCTTTTTCATCTAGCAATAGTATATTGTTAAATATCTTTAAACCCCTTATCAGCGTTTTATTGGCCTGGGTACAACAATTCCCTTGCAGTGCAACAGCACATCCGGCGTGAATGTCACCTCCCGCCGAGGACTTTTAATATCTAAACAAGAAAATCTTCTCCAGCATTTACAGAAATAAAACTCGGCAATGTCGTTTGATCTCGCTACACAGGCCGCGCCGCGACAAGGGGGTGGGGCGGACAACTGCCTTAGGAACCCCGATTTCCAGAACGAGTTTGTATGAAGCTTTGTTCTACTTTGCACTATCGATTTCTCTCGCTTGCAGTATTTTTGGAGACTCAGTAATTTCGCACGCATCATAACGTCATACATTTGCAGAGGAATGGGCTGGCATCTACGATCTGCCCTGAGGACCTACGATTTGCCCTGAGGACCCGGCCACAGTCCCGGCTTCGCTTTGCGACCCTGCGCGAAGCTGTGTCGTACGAAACAGGATTCCCAATAAACCCTCATCTTATGCTCGAAGTACAGTGCAGTACCCCAAGAAACTACATAAATCCACGTTAGACATAAAAAAATAGCTTACAATACACTTGTACGACCAACATCAGAAGACTGTACGACTGTAAAGTACCGCTACAGGCTCGCGCAGGTCAATGCCAAAGCCACCGCTTTCAGTACACACAACTGACGTTGCAATACATATTAAAATCAATAACAATCAAGTGTAAGACCGCAAACATCAGTGTAGTTCGACATCTATGGGCCTCGGGACAGGTTCCTCGAGGGCCCCTTGCATTTTTAATTGTTCGATGAAAAAATATATGATAAAACTAAAGTAATTTACTTGGTACAACTGAACCTTTCTTGTCTGTACTTACATCTTCAATATCAGAGAGAATTAACAAGAGATTAAGATCTCAAGGGGAGCGGTGAAAAATCGCCCTCCGCCCCCATGATACGCTACAACCACTAACAACCACGAGCATTTACAGATAGAAATATTCAGCAACACGAAACAAGTAACTTGCATAACGTATCAACAAGAACACATACAGGCATCCATTCTTCCCACGAACCATACGCTACTGGGACAGGTTATCACAATAAAGTAGAGAAACGGGAAGACAGACCTTCGCAACCAATTAAACTAACTCACAAAACCATGACCTACATGATGACGATGATGAAGACACTCGTTAACCATGTCAATGAATGAAAAGGCGACATGATCAACTCGGGTTACGCAAATGCCAACCGAAAGGTGTTTAGCATATTAAGTATGTAATCAAACACCGCCTCTTATACCTTGATCCTCTGGAAGAAAACCCCACAATGAACAAACTAGATTTATTAAAGTGAGACAACAGCTTCCATCTTCGGGCCAGACTCGAAGATGGAACCGAGGACTATTCTGAAACTGTTGTCTCACTTACTTCATTAAATCTAGTTTGTCCATTGGTGGGTTTTCTACCATATTATCAACACGGTAGAGTGTTTTTTCCATTCATCTTGATCCTCACAACCCCCCTCCCTCTCAGCAACCGATCTCACAAACGACCTGCTCCTCAAATCGAGTTCGAGTGGAACATCTGAACTAACTTGGTCTAACGTGATCAAAACAGGTCCAATTACAGGAGTCGAGAAGCCGGACCAGAGAAAGGGGGCTAAACAGACGCGAATTTCCTAGCTCTCGGACTTCACTTTTTTACGTTGATTTTTGAAGTATACGATTTGTGTGGTGATGATGTGATAATTATGATGTCGTGATGATGATGGTGATGAGGATGATCATAATGATCGTACAACGGTGGTGATAGTAACTACACTACTCCTACTACCACTACAGGTGACGATGACGATGCTACCACAGTCCACACAAGTACTGAAACAGGTCCAGCAACAACACAGTTTCCCCGCACACTGGATTTACACGCAACAGATTGAGTCATAATCGATGACGATGACGGCGATGATCTACCAGCGTCGATGGGGGGGGGGAGGCTGGTGCAACATTTTAAATTTGACGACAAAAGGGTGTGGTTATTGGGTGTGGTCATTAAAAAATTTAGTCGTATCTTAAAACTGTTTATTGGTCGCGTTACTCAAAGCAACGCGCCATGATCTGCTTGCTTTCCACTTCCATCGATTTACAGAAGATATATGACTCAGATATTTCCAGGAATTTCCGACAAAAACCGGTTTTAGCTTTATTTGCCGACATACATTTCTTCAGGGGGGAGGGGGGGAGTCACACACCCACACACACCCTTCGCGACGCCCCTGGATACTACAGAGCACAAACCGAATGAAAAAAAGACAGTAATTGCACAGTTTATGCGCACACTTGATTTACACGCGAGAGAAGTCGCAAACAATGTCATAAAGTTCAAAACTTATTTCTTTTCCTCCCTCCTTAACAATGAAACTATGAAAGGAATAACATAAAATGAATATGCTAAATATCACTAAAATTATGAAAGGCATAACATGGAAACACGAATATGCCTAATACATGTCATATCTGTGTTTGTTTTTCTTGTCTCATTTTCCTTGTTCAGTTCGGTTTGTTCGACACGAATCTTTAACTCTCCGTCACTCTCCACTGCCATGCTTCCCAACATTTAACTTGTTCCAATACTCACCATTTAAATTATGGAATACATTCGCAAAATTTAAAACAGAAATCGCACACATTTGATCAACGAAGAAACACACTAACGCATCGATATAATAACAGATAAAAACGAACAATATTCACACAGATTCGGTTTCCTGAAAACGAGACAGGTTTCGAAATCCTGCAGCGAATTTCAACTCCTCGCCAGCATACCTGATGATTGTGAGTTCCATGAGGCCAAGACCCGAGGCGAGGATGTCCCCGATGTCCTGCGTGCCCCCGTCTCCATCCCGCCCTGTTGCTAGGAGCTGTTTCTGAAATGTACCAGAGTCCAGTATAAAGTGTTGAGTCCGACGTACCGGCACACCTATCGCGCAACCTAGACATCGCATATGTGCAACTATTTAATGGTTAATGGTTAAGATAAATGTGCTAGACATCAAAGGTCATATAGCAGTGCAACTATTTATGATTTAATTCTGTGATTGTTGATGCTACAAGTACTTATGATTTTGATGTTGTGGTAATTGATGCTACGAATATTAATGATTGGATTTTGCTACAAGTTTTATTGATTTGATTTTGTGATAAATGATGCTACAAGTATTCATAATTTAATTCTGCGATTATTGATACTCTAGACATTTATGATTTGATTCTGTGATAATTGATGTTATAAGTATTTATGATTTAATTCTGTGATAACTGATGCTACACGTATTTACGATTTAATTCTCTGATAACTGATGTTAAATGTATTTATGATTTAATCCTGTGATTGGTGTTACCTGATTCAATAAACGTATGCATGGTAACTCCACAAACACCTGCCACACAAGAATTCATAAGCTGATTCCGTGTTAACAGATGATAACTTATGCAACGAAGGGGTGCAAAGTAACACCTGCCACGCAAAGTATTTATGATTTAAATGACCTGGTTTCATTTTAGTGCAGCTGTGAAGAAAATATTGCAGTAATATTTAGTACTCTAAACAAAGAAATCATCTTTATTTGACCTTGATTTCTTCTGTGATAATTGGTGTTAAATGGTATAACAATGGGATGCATGGTAACTCAGAACACACTTGTACCGCTAGTATTTACGATATGTCTCCATGTCAGTTGATGATACATGTAATAAACGAATTCATGGTTACTATGTACAAACCCGTCAAGCAGGTATTTTATAATTTGATTATGTGGAAAAAAAAACTAATGTTGCATGATGTACGAAAAAGAGGCATATCAAATACGTATGTAACTTTTCGTTTTCATATTCATATCAAACTGCTAGGAGTAAAAGCATGGTGACATGGTGATGTGTATTCATCGTTGGTCAGTGAGTTTGAATCCGAATAGTTCCTAAAAAGAACTTAATGATTTCAAGTTCAAAATGTTTAGTCCATTACCATTTAGTTGAAGATGAAATACTTTTATTATCAAACTTCATCAATCTTCATATTCTGTTTTTACAATTAATCTTGTTATTTATCATAAACTTGATAATTACATCACAGCCATCAATTTTCTTTACGAATGCCGATTACATACTTTGTATAATTCCTTTACCATCTAAGATTAATTAATTTATACGTATTCACAAACAAACATAATTCAACTTTTATAAAAAAAAAAATCAATATATTTACAATTCCTAACAGTGTTCATCTGGACATGTATATAACCTAAAAACCATCCATACATCTATTTAAAATCCAACACCATAAATAAAAAAAAAACATTTCTTTCTGCGTAATAACTCGCACAACATCTTTCCCCACCATTTCCTTCTCCGTCGACCTCGCGGAACTCACAGCATGGCTAATCCAGTGCGTGTTGTTCCTCTTCTTCGTCGCTAAGTCATCGTCATCGACCGAGGGCAAGGAGGAGCGTCTTTGAGGAGGCGCCGACAGGGAGGAACTGGGAGGTACCGGGGACCTGGAGACCTGGGGAGGATACTTGTCCGAAAGCATTTCGCCGGAGGACATGTTGCACCCGGCGACAGAGGCCACGGCTCGGAACACCACGGATATGGTCACAGTCCTGGAGGAAGAGAGAGAGAAAAATATTGTTTTTCGTGCGTAAACAAACACAATGTAGGAGTAATGTAGGAATGGCAGGAGACAGACGAACTAAACAAATGAAAACCTAAAAATTAACATGTTTGATTTTGTTTTTCATGCGTAAACAAACACAATGTAGGAGTAATGTTGGAATGGAAAGAGACAGACGAACTAAAAAATAAAAACCTAAAAAAAACAAAATGTTATCTGACATATAGTGGACGGATATAGTCATTCCTGGAGGAAGAGAAAAAAATGGATTTTTCAAGCGTACACGAATCCAAATAAAAAATTGGTAGGAGATGGACGCATGTGAACTAAACGGATAATCATATAAATGAACTAAAACGCACGTTATTAGACATTATAGTGGGAGTTGACAGGACTTAATGAGAATTACAAGATGGGTCTTCAACATAATTAAGAAAGGCAACGTGCGTAAAACAAATACAAATAAAAAATAGTAAGAAACGAACGCTCACGACTAAAAAAACAAACAAAAAAACGAATGAAATAAAAACACACCTTACCAGCCATATAAGGCCATTCGACAGGACTTAATGAGATTAACGCGATAGGTCTTCACCATAATTAATTAGGAAAGGGAAGCTAAGGCGGAGATTCCTGCCTCACTCACCCTGGCGAAGGACCGGAGGAGACGGTGCAGCCTGGCGTCGGGAGGCTCCTGCTGAGGGGCAGCTGGCGGCGGACGATCGGCAGCTCCATCTGGGATTCGAACGGGTTGTCTATGAACTATTGCTTGAGTGAATGCACGTTAGGTTAAATATAGAGTGATGGGAATAGGAAGATGTGTAATTGTGTACACCTGTATATCCATGTGTATGGATATTGAGATGTGTCATTGTCACACTCATACACACACACACGCACGCTAAACAACTCCCCCCCTCAAACCATCACAACAAACCTAAACATACACTCAATCACACACACACTACACACACACAAACACACACACCACACACACCAACCCCCTCAATCACACACACACAACAAAATCACACACACACACGCACACACACTCACCACAACCCCCCTCACACACACACACCCCCCGCAACAACACACCACAACAAACCCCTCACACACACACAAACCCTCCCTCACACACACATACAAACCCCCCTCACACACACACACACACACAACCCCCTCCCTCACATATACACCCCCCCCCACACACAACCCCCCTCACACCCACAAACACCAAAGACACATCCTCAACCGCCTCTGCCCTACCGTCGCGAGGGAGAAGGACGTCAGCCCCAGGAGCTCGGTGTCCTGCGTCCCCCTGGGCATCGAACACACGGCGAAGGAGAGGGTGACGGTGGACACCTCTCTGACCAGGACCTCGACGCCGCACTCCCACCGGGGCGACCCGCACTCGCACACGTAGTGGGTCGTCTTCACCTGTGGGTTTGGTTGGGGCGGAGGAAAAACGTTGGGGGGTTTTGTGAGATTTTGGTTTGTATTGCAATCTTTTATGGTCAATTTCGTTTTTTGGTTGTTTTAATGAAGTTTTTTTTTTTTAAGTGGTACAGATATTCTTATAGATACATATCATATATATATATATATATATATATATATATATATATATATATATTATAATAGTAATATATATATATATATATATATTATTTATTATATATATGTATATATAATCATATATTTTATATATCTATTATATCTATAGATTATATACATTCATAGATAATAATCAATATAACAAAAATATACTTTATAGCACATAATATTCATACATATATTTACACATTTACACATATGCACCCATCCACTTATTTACACGTTTACATACATATACCTATTCCTCTATTAATTTACTCATACACATATAATTCCCAATCAGCATCTCACTGAACAGAATCCAGTTTACCTTCTTTCGGTTACTGAAGATGAGACAGTAACACGACGGCAGGTAGTCTGAGGTGGTGATGTTGTCAGCCCCGTGCACCAGGATGTACAGCACACCGGCGCCTGCAAAGTCAAAGAATGCCTTGTAATCAGTCATTCACACCTTGTAGTCATCAAGTCATTCACTTTAAAAAAATCTTGTAGTCATCAGTCATTCACTTTAAATACTTTCGTGTACAGTGAATTTCATTTAAATGATGAATGGGTGTTATGTTGTGAATTTTTCGTACATAAAGGGGTGTGGTCAAGCTCTGTTCGCACAGTATGTGCTGCTTGTTGAAGTGATGTATTGGTACAACATTGTGTGTGTGTGTGTGTGTGTGTGTGTGTGTGTGTGTGTGTGTGTGTGTGTGTGTGTGTGTGTGTGTGTGTGTGTGTGTGTGTGTGTGTGTGTGTGTGTGTGTGTGTGTGTGTGTGTGTGTGTGTGTGTGTGTGTGTGTGTGTGTGTGGTGTGTGTGTGTGTGATGTGTGTGTGTGTGTGTGTGCGAGTGAGTGAGTGAGTGTGTGGTGTGAGTGTGAGTGAGAGAGACCCTTCACAGCTTTACATAACTCCACTTCAGTGTAACGATCAAAGCCTACATAAACACATCACATCATATACATCACGAACACACTTTCAAAATTTCAAAAATCAAAATCAGTCTACCTAATAGCAAACGAAATTCCAAGCGAAACGGAAAATGGAAGAACCCAATAAATTACGCTCTACTCCTGTCCCTCCCTCTCTCTCCCACTCTCTCGCTTAATTAAATGTACAGCTGCACTCCATATGAAATGTTCAATGGAATGGCGGCCAGACACGACCTTGCGTGAAATTGTGGATCCGACACTTTTGAAATTTCATGCAACTTTTAAAGAGAATTGTTTTTGTTTTTTTCGGTTGATGAAATATGCTTTGATCGCATCATGTTAATATGATTTTGTTTCCAAAGATAAAGAGTGTTTTATATCGGATATCCATAAGGACAAATCCATGTAATATTCGTTTTCAGAAAATAAAATGATTGTTGTTTTTCTTTCTTACCAGTAATGTACAAAATATTTATGAACTCCAATATAGTTGTCATACTTATATTTAGAGAAATTGTGTAGCGCAAATAATTTCTTAACACAATTCTCTATGCTATCTTCACGACTGTAGGGAGTCTTAACCTAACTTTAGGACTGTCAGTTTCAAAAACACACGTCCTTTTCATTTTCCGTTATTTTGGTATATCAGCTGATTTTTTTTTGCGATATTATTCCTTAGTAGAGGATTTTGTGTTTCAAAAAGTGGATTCCACTACTTCATTAATATCACGACCGTCATTGTTGCCATATAAAGGATATTATATAACACTAATTAGTACTAAAACATTCTCCCTCCCATAACTACATCAAATTCCTTATAGTTCCTCGTGTATTTTCCTGTAACAAATTTCTTGCATAATTATTTACGTATAACATATGAAATCGCATATCTTTTAAGAACAAACACTAGAAAACTTATCTGTAGGAATCCTGAACACACAACACATCCACACTGAATTATCTACCTAACTACAATTAAATTAATTACTGGAAGTTATTCTACACCGCATCTCCTTCCCCAACTTTTTCTTTGATACGATGAAATTAAAGTAATAAAAGTTTTTTTTTTTATTATTATTAATCTAATATCCCTCCTCTTTGGCATGATCACGTGATCACTTTTTTTGGCGGGAAAAAGTTCCTATGAAGGAAAAGTTTTCCCGCGCAAACAAGATTACTGAAGTACCGCGAGAAAAGTGTCGGATCCGATTCCTTATAATTTTACTCCTGCAGTTTAATGTTTCCAAAAAAAAAATAAAAAAAAAAGAAGTTCAAATGGCGCATATCTATATATTACCTCATAATATAAAGCGATGTACAGCAGGGTTATCCTACTACAAAATGGAACAAAATTAAATCACCATATTAGCAACTCTAGTCTCTATCGACATTTTATGGTAATGGCGCCATCAATTTCAACCGCAAAGCCACTATGATTGATGAAATATACCGTTAATACGTAATGGCGTTGCACTGCAGCTGCAATAGCAACACAAGTCTTTGGGTAATACATCAAAGCAGAGGCGACAAGGCAGAGCAAAGTTTAACGCTCGTAACAAAGCCAAGTTCTGGCGCTTAGTTCCCGAAGAAACAACTGCGTCAACATGATAAAAGAAAAGAAATTAAAAGAGGAAAGGGAGAAGAGAGGAGGGGGAATGAGAGAGAGGAGGGAGAAGGAGAGGGAGGAGAGAGAGAGAGGGAGAGGGAGAGGGGAGAGGGAGAGGAGAGGGAAGAGGGAGAGGGAGGGAGAAGGGAAGAGAGAGGAGAGAGAGAGAGAGAGAGAGGAGAGAGAGAGATAGAGAGAGAGAGAGAAGAGAGAAGAGAGAGAGAGGAGAGAGAGAGAGAGAGAGAGAGGAGAGAGAGAGAAGAGAGAGAGAAGGAGAGAGAGAGAGAGGAGAGAGTAGAGAGAGAGAGAAGAGAGAGGAGAGGAGAGAAGAGAGAGAGAGAGAGAGAGAGACAAGAAAAGAGATAGGGAGAGACAGACAGACAGAACAGAGGGAGAATGAGAAGAAAAGAGAGACAGAGAGAGATGACGTTGACAAAACGCTAGTTCTGTTAAATTACTTACTGGCTAATAGATGGTTCTGGACCGCACGTGTTCGACTGAGACAGAGAGTCTATTTTAGGGGACTATAACCATGAATTTCGACTCCAAGAACCTGGCATCAAATATATAAACCTTATCCTCCATTATCACGATTAGTTTTACCGAACAGACGAGAAAAATATCGGAATATCGTAAAGTATAATATAGAATATAAAGAATTCTGTTTAATATCAAGCTTCATCAGTAGTTGGAGATTACGACCAACATCATTAGATTCGACACTACAGAGGGTAGTAAGAGACGCAATTCGCGGAGCATATAAATAAATCCGATAACGTGTGGCGCGGGAATCTTTGAGAAAACGAAGACGGTATCATAGTTATTGAGATAATATAGGTTCATTGATTAAGTATAGAAAAGGAAGTAAAAGATAATATGAGTGTTGAAAGAACACAGATATTGATCCTAGGCAGGATGGGTTAGCCTGGTTGCTGAGGGAAGGGGTCGATATGAGGCTGGACCGTTTATTGCTGGGCCCGTTAGACAGCAAGACGGAGCGCAAGTATGGCTAATTATCAATAGATAAGATCGTAAGGAGACTGACATCGTAGATAAAAATAGAACTGCTAAGATAGTTTGATTTATATTAGTAGGGCGTATGTGAGGGTGCCCATATGTTGACGGATGACATATTATTATGGCTCGAATGCAAGTGAAAACACAGATTAGAATACAAAATCTAACCAGATGTGGCCGATTCCTATCTATTGCGGTCCACTAGGCTGCGGGTGCAAGCACTATAAAAAAGAATAAAAGGTTTATAATTCTGTGGATCCAGGGATTCAATTTCTTCTGGAGTATGA